GGGGGGGTAGAGGGGGAATCGAACGAGATATGCTTCGCCGTGGGGTTCTGATGGTCTGTGCGGTCGATTTCGTGCTCTTGATAGAATCATCCGAAGTCATACGATATCTCGGTCGTTGCTTTTTTCTTTGTTCCGTTCCATTTCTTTCTTTGTTCCCTTTCGGCTGTGCACTACAAAACTCGCTGTTGTACCACAAGACATCCCCAGGCTGCCGGGTCTTCGCGAGGTAGCTGCTAGAACATCATAGACCCTGTTTGGAAGCGCCTTTCCTTGTCGCCGCGGCAGTGTCTCATACTCCCTCCCCCCATCGTTGCATTGGTTTCGTCCAGTCGGCCTTCCACCTCGCGGCAACAGCATTCGGGCGCGCGGGCCTCTGGCGACAGGGCGTCCGCGTGGCGGTCGTGGCGGCGGAGCAGGGCATCGCCCTCGCACCGAGCACCCTCACGAGCATCCTTGGGGCCTGCGCGAAACAGGCCCGGTGGCGAGAAGCGCTGGGGCTGCTCCAGGGCACTCGCCCGATCCTACAGCAGGCGTTTTCGTCGTTGGCGTTGTCGACAGGCACGGGGGTTGTGGCTGGCGACGACAGGAGGGGGGAAGGGAACGTGGTGGCCGCGTACACGCTGGCCATGGTTGCGTGCCGGAGGTCCGGGCGACACGCGGAGGGGCTCCGCGTGTTGGAGATGCTGGAAGAGGACGGGGGTGTGGGGGACGAGGCGTTTTTTCGAGTTGCGCTCAAGTGCTGCGCCAAGGCCACGGGGGTCGGGGAGCGGCGCGAGTGCAGCGGGGCGGCCGTTGCGGACAGGGTATTGGAAGGCATGTCTGCACAGGGGATCCGTTGCGGCGTGGAGGGGTTCACAGATATCGCGCAGGTGCGGGGCTCATTGAAAAGACAGAGAGAGAGAGGGGGGAGGGGGGGGGGGGCTTGCTCCCGGGAGAAGAGAGAAGGGTTGCCCCCGGCTCCACATGCGGTGGTTCTAGCGAAGGGACCAAGGAACCCAGGGAATTGGTGGAAGCGTCCCTTGTCTTAATGAAAAGAGTTGTTGAGATAACTCAACCGCAATGCAAAGTTCGCTTGCCGCTGGACATTGTGTGCTTACCTCACCGTTTTGGTTTTCAGGCGTACGGGTTAGCCGGAAGATGGGAAGACGCTTTGGCGCTGCTACCTAGAGCCGCGGCTTTAGCGGCGGTGCCCGACGAGCGGATGTATTGCTCCGTCATTAACGCGATGGGGCAGAGCGGCGCTTGGGAGGCGGCGGTGGAACTCATCCAGTCGATGCGGCGGCGGCCATCGGCAGCCGCCGCCGCCGCAGGCGGTAGCGGCGGCGGGGCCAGCGATAGCGGAGCAAGCGGCGGCGCTGCTGCCGCCGTGGTGTCGCCGTCGCTGGAGCCCCCGCCCCCTGGGCGGGCGGCCTACGGGTGCGCGTGTCGGGCGTGCGCCAGGAAGGGGGAGTGGGGCGCGGTGCTGAGGCTGATGGAGGACATGCGGGAGGACGGCCTGGAGAGAGATTCTTCGGTGTATGCGTCAGCCATACGGGCGTTCGTCGAAGCGGGGGACTGGGAGAGGGCGGTGGAAATCGTGACGGTTGAGGTAAGTACGGAGGGCGGGATATTTGTCATTGCTGTGTGGAGAGGCTGCCATGGTTGTGGCCCCTGGCGCGTTGAACGGTTTTATCCAAATCACTGTTGGCGTGTTTTACGTTCGTTCAAGTAGAGAGAGACCAGACGTACGCTTTGATGAACCGAGGAATTGGCGTGCAGCTACTGTAAACTGTTCATGCGCTTTGTGCTCGCCGATTGTATCCAAAACGATCAGTTGACTTGTACGAGTAGCTAATGGCATGCTTCGATAGTGACCGTAGCGATCGTACTGCTGCTGTGCACTTTTCCTCGCTTAATGCAGCTATACGGATGTAAATGTGAGTTGTTGCCGAGCCTCTCGTATCCCGATGCCGGTGCTCGTGCTCATACCGCTGCTCGTTTCTGAGCCCCTGGTATCCCGTTGCCGGTGCTCGTGCCCATACCACCCTCCGTTCATCACCCACAGATGGAGCGAGACGGGGTATCCCCGGACGCCCTATCGTACAGCCAGGCCTTGCGAGCCTGCCGGGCGGGGGCAGACGGGAGTGGTCGGGCGGCGCAGCTAGCGCTCGCGCTCGTTGGAGAAGTTCGAAGCAGGGGACTAGAGCCGGGCGTGGTGATCCTCGAGAGTGCCGCTAGGTGGGTTTTTGGTGTCGGTCCCGGGGTCCTTCGTACCCCCGACTCTTTGAGTGGCCTTATCTACCGTACCGGAGTTATACTGCAGTGGACTGACTGACTGGTGCTGGGTGCTTTGGGTGTAAACGCTTGGCGGTATGTAAGCTTTTGTGGTCGTTGTTGGTGAGGAGGGTTCAGTGACCGCTGTGTGCTGCGAGGGGGTGGGCACCCTTTCCCGCCGGCGCTGTCACGGACCTCCCCGCACACCTCTGATCCGTGCCTCAATCACCCCCCCCGACCACACTGCCGTAACCGATTGAACCGACCACAACAACAGGGCTTGTCTGGCGGACGACCGGCCTGAGCTCGCACTAGAAATCGTCTCCGAGACCCTCGACTCCTGGAGACGAGGGAGCTTGGGAGGGGACGGAGATGGCGGTGGGGGAAAACGGTGGGGAATTGACGAGGTGCAGCGGCTAGAAACGATGCGCATCATGGTTCTCGGTCGCCTGGGACGGTGGGAGGACTCCCTCGAAGCCCTAGACGCGATGCGGGCCAAGTTCGGCGACGATGACCTAGACGAGAGAGCGTTCGTTTCGGCGGCACGCGCCTGCGCGGCGGCGGGGGAATGGTCGCTGATTCAGGTTCTCCAGTCCGAGGCATCGGCGGTAGGGGACGGTGACGGGGTGTCCCCGGAGTCCGCGTGGGACATGCAGCGAGCGCTGCTCTCCGGGCTCACGACGGCGGGGATGTGGAGGCGCGCCATGGAAATGCTGCGGGAGATGCATCACGGCGGGGGTGGTAATACGGTCATGCCAGCAGCAGGGGAAGAGCGGGGGCAGGGAATGCCAGACCCGTCTCCGCATTGGCAGGTGAGCCAGATACATACCCGTGTTGTGGCCGGTGGGCACACCTTTAGCAAACCGATGGGTGAAGTATTGGGGAATCGTCTCTGATGCTCTTTGCTGTTTCTGAGAAAGTTTGGTCGATTTCTGCGGTAATGCAGTACGCACGCCACTGGAGTGTCAACCTGAACGTCTTCCGATGGGTTGTACGTAAGACTGGCTAAGCTATCACAGCTGTAGCTCGTAAAGCAGGGCACTCTTTGTTTTGTTCTCGAAGGCACACGGTGCTTCGGTTGCGCCTATTTTTGACAAGACTGTGCCACAAGAGGTGGTCTTGTTGCACTGTTGCAGCGATCAGGATGGTGTTGGGTGTGGTGACGAGGTATCAATAGTTTGGAGCGACTTCGAATACCGGCCATTCCTAAATATACGCATCTCTTAAGTGTCGCCGCCGAGCTGTTGTCGATGACTTGTGTGCCTCGGCATGTACTAAACGTACGCGCGAAAAACTCAGGAACGTCAGTGGTTGCGGTAACATCACACGTTAGTGTGTGGTCGAGTTTGTCGAGAGGAGGTATTTTGGTCTTTAGTGTGATGTTGTGTTTTTGTACACGACAAACAGGCTGTGAGATGACGACGGCTGTGGCTGTTTGCGAGCTTATCATTCAGCTGTTACGCGGCAGCGTTTCTCAAGCTCGAAGCAAATCGATGGCATGACCAACACTATGCTTGGGCGTATGCACTTGACGGAGGACTTGGTAGGACACAACAACCTTCAACTTTGCGGTCAGCCGTGCTCTGTGCGAATGAGCGGCGACGGCAAGTATTAGTGCGACGGTGTTTAACACCAACAACGAGTTGGCAGTAGCGGATCGACGATCTTGTCTCTCGATGGCACGATGCTTTCATTGTTCTACCTCAATGTATCTCCGGTGGGGTTGAATAGAGGTTGGGTATTTCGTGGAGTGTGTGGTAGTTTTCTTGCTGCAAGCCATGTGTTGTAGTTTTCCCCACCTGTTTTGTGCCCCGCGGTGTACACCCCATGTATATTCTGTCCTCTTCGCCCCCAAGCAACAAAAATCCAACCCATAATCTCTCCATCTCCCCCCCCCCCCCCCCCCCCCCCCCCCCCCCCCCCCCCCCCCCCCC